CCCTACCGCCCTCTGCCCCTATCCTTGTGTTCCATGGACAAAAGGCAGGCCCGGTCCAGCTGCTTACTAGGTGGGAAGCCTCAAGAACTGCCAGGAGACAGAGAAGACGAAGGCAGAAGAAGAAGACCCTCCTCCCCACCCACTCAAATCCAGAAGGCTCCTCTTCTCTTTTTGCAAACCCTACAAATCCAGTGCCCACTGCAAGGGAATTCTTGCTGCTGACGGTGGTTGGGTTGGGCATTCTGGGGTAAGCCAGTAGGACGTCAGCCAAACTGGACAGCAGCGAATGAGGCTCCTTCGCAGGAGGGTGGCTGTGGAGGCTGAGGCCCGCTTAGCAAGGCTGGGAGGTGTCTCTTTAAGGCTTGGGCTCATGGCCTCTGGGAGCAGAGAGCCAGCCTGGGAGAAGGCAGGGCCTACGGTTTATTTTATTTGACATTTTTCAACGTCAGGACACTTCAGAGCCAAGGAGGAAACGAGTCCCATCTGTTCCCGAGCGCTCAAGCACAGTTCAAGAGGACAGCCTGGGGAAGGGAGGGGCAGGTGAGGAGGCAGCAAAAAGACTGGGACATCCAGCCTCACACTCGGAGCAGGAACCACCTAAGGAGAGACATAGGGCACAGCAGACGGTCACCAAGAAATCCTACTGTCACCCAACACACACCCACAGAGCCTTCTCAAGATGGGGCCTGCTGGCTCTGTGTAAGGTTCTGCGGCCCTGGCATAGGTTGCTGGACACGACACCACTCTGTACAAGTGAATGGCGCCCCCTGGAGGTGTGTGACATGGCAGGACTGCTGCTGGCTCGGCCCAGGATTCCTGCCCATTAACCTGCAAAGCTCAGACACGCCTGCCCAGGCTACCATTCACAAAGACAGAAATGGAGACGCTGAGAAGTAAATCCGAGTCAAAGCAGGAGGGGATGGGGAAGGCCGCCTGACCTCCTTCCCCTCTGGGCACAGTGGCCCCTAGGCCTGGCGTCTGCATTCACCCCTGCAGGGCGTCTGTCTTCTGCACCTCCTGCGCCAGCCCTGGGCACCCGGGTTGGGAAGGACAGAGGGCTGCCGAACTTATCTTCTTACTTAGATTAAATTCCAGACCTCACTATTTTTAGAAAAACAAATTCCTTTTCTCTTTTCAAGAGGTAGGAATGTCCCGAGCTGTCATCTCAGACAGTCAGCAGCCAGCTTAAAGTTGTCACAATGTTGTGTTTGGATGTCACCCTGGCGGGACTAGTGTCAGGCAGTGATCCATCCAGGTGCCAGATTTTAAGAGGATCGTTGACAACTTGAGAGTTTCCAGAGGAGGGTGACCAGGATAATCAGGAGCCAGAAAACTGGGTCATTTAAGCAAGTGCTGGAATAGCTGGGGACTTTTTTTTTGTTTTTTTTTTGATCTAAAGAAGAGAATCTCTGAGCCATCATTAAGAACATGTTGAAATATTTGAATGAAGATTTACACTTAATTCTATTTTTCCCAGACGACAAAATTCAAATCAATAGGCAGAAGTAACAGTGAGGCAGATTTCTGGTGAATATTCAGAAGCTTTGTGATAATTTTATTCTATCTGAAATGGAATAAGCTCCCTGTCACTGTGCCTACGTGAGTCAAGGCTGAAAGACCAACTCTCAGGGACACTATAAAGAAGATTCTTGTACTTCATGGGAAGATGGACTGATCCAAAGTCACTGAGAAGCTTTAGAAAAATATGGCTTCCTGGGGAGCAGAGAATCTGCTTGGGAGGTCTGGGATGAGACTTGGAATCTGTATTTTTAAAAAGTCCCATCAGCTATAAAACTCAGAAGAAAATACAGGGGAAAAGGTTTATGACAGTGGATTTGGCAATGATTTCTTGGATGTGACACCAAAAGCACAGGCAACAAAAGAAACAATAGATAAATTGGTCTTCATCAAAATGAAAAACTTTTGTGCATCAAAGGACACTATCAACAGAATGAAAAGGCAACCTACAGAACAGGAGAAAACATCTGCAAATCATACGTATGATAAGAGATTAATATCTGAATATATAAAGAACGCCAACAACTCAACAACAACAAAACAACCCAATTAAAAAATGGACAAAGGATTTGAATAGACATGTCTCCAAAGAAGATATACGAATGGCCAATAAGCACATGAAGAGATGCTCAACATCACTAATCATTAGGGAAATGCAAATCAAACCACAATGAGATATCACTTCACACCCATTAGGATGGCTACTATTAAAAAAACAAACAGAAAATAATAAGTGTTGATGAGGAAGTGGAGAAATTGGAATGCTGGTGCATTGCCAGGGGGAATGTAAAATGGTGCAGCCCCTGTGGAAAACAGTATGGTGGTTCCTCAAAATATTAAAAATAGAATTACCATGTGACCCAGTAATTCCACTTCTAGGTATTTGCCCAAAAGAACTGAAACCAAGGGCTTGAAAGGATATTTGTACACCAGTGTTCATAGCAGGATTATTTACAACAGCCAAAGGTGGAAACAACCCATTGACAACTGAATGGATAAACAAAATGTGGTCTATCCACACAATAAAATATTATTCAGCCTTAAAAAGGAAGGAAATTCTGACACATGCTACACACGGATAAACCTTGATGACATCACACTGAGTAAAATAAGCCAGTCACAAAATGACAAATACTGTATGATTCCACATATACGAGGTCCCTTGAGTAGATAAGTTCATAGAAACAGAAAGTAGTACGGTGATGCTGGGGGCTGGGGGAGGGGAAAATGGGGAATTTTTGTTTAATAGGGGACAGAGTTTCAGTTTGGGAAGATGAGAAAAGTTCTGGAGATGGATGGTGGTGATGGTTGCACAACAGTGTGAATATACTTAATGTCATCAAACTGTACACTTAAAAATGGTTAACATACTAACCATATATAAAAAACATTTAACACAATTGTAAAACTACATAATTTTTTAAAAGCATATGATTATTTTGGCAGCAACAGCAGTTCACCTTCCTCATGTTTGAGGAATTCACCTCCCCTGAACTCACACGGATTGGTGACCCAGGAAAGGCCTGGTGTTGGATGGAGCAGAGAGAGATGACCTGGCCTGAATGTCGGCTGGGGAAGAGCCCCCGGGGGGATGATCTCCCAAGATAACTGAGAGCACTGAGTCACCATCGTGTCTCATGGCTCACTGATAGCTTGTGGCTGATTATGTCACCCAGTGGAGGACAGGGAAGCCCATCAGTCAGCGTCACCTCTCCCACTGGCCCCATGTTGGGAGCTCCTGGTCGGCAGAAATGCGAATGGCAGGGGCCGGCCCTATGGTGTAGCGGTTAAGCGAGAGCGCTCTGCTGCTGGCAGTCCGGGTTCGGATCCCAGGCGCGCACCGATTCACAGCTTGTCAGGCCATGCTGTGGCGGCATCCCATATAAAGTGGAGGAAGATGGGCACAGATGTTAGCCCAGGGCCAGTCTTCCCCAGCAAAAAGAGGAGGACTGGCAGATGTTAGCTCGGGGCTGATCTTCCTCACACACACACACACAAAAAGCGAATGGCAATGGGCAGTGGCTGATGGGGGTGTATGGGGTGTCACCGCAGGGGTGTCACCACGGGGGTGAGAAGGGAAGCATTGCGGCCCACCTCTACGGGGAACAGCCCTACCCATCTTATGAACAGGAAAAATAATTTTCTAGATTACAAAACCTGGATGGAAACCCCACAGGATGGGAGGACCAGGAAGAGGCTGAGCTATAGGGTCTCAGGTTTGCATCTTCTCTTCAGGATTTGCTGGAATCTAAGATGCCTCGTTTCTAATGAAAAAACACAACGCTCAACCACGAAAACACATAATTGAGGAGTGAATGTTTACATCAAAATTTCTGGGATTATAAATGGATTCCCCTCAATTCTGACTTTCTCGGCACATGTAAGGTGTGTTTACAGTCCTGGCAGGGAAGTTAACAATGGAGAAAGCTTACAACCCAAGCGTTGAGAGTTGCTACTAACTGCAGACTGACCATACAAGACGTGTGTGAAATTATCTTGGCAACTAGCGCTGCAGTTTACAGGAAGGCCCATGTTATGGACAGCACCCAGCCAGCACTCTGTTCTGCATCCCCCACGACCTCCAGGCTCCCCTGGGCTTAGGGTGGTGGGCACAGAAGGGACACGTCCTCATTCAGGCCAGCTTCGGCCAACGCTGCTCTTTTTACTGACTCAGGAGCATACACACTGCCCAGAGGGAGGAGCATAAAGAAAGGTTGCCAGGGAGTAGATAAAGGGCGTCTTTCCTGGCTCCCCCTGCCCAGCATTCCACACCCCCACACCCCCAAAATCTATGTTGGCAGGACTGGTCAGCTGCTACCACTGATTCTGTGCTCTGGTCAGACTGCACCCTGAGGGCAAGTCTGGGACCCTCAGAGGGCAGGAATCCATCCCCCCATCCGCCCCGCACCATGGTATTTTAACAATGACAATAACAATAATAACAGTAATAACAGCAATAAAAACAATAGCTAACACTGAATATTTACAGTGAGCCGGGAATCATTCCGAACACTTTCCCTAAATCAGTCCATTTAATCTTCACCATCACCCTGGGTAGGTTCCACCATCATCTGCATTTAGCAGATAGATAAACTAAAGCCTGCAGAGGTTAACTAACCTGCCCAGTTCACACAGCTAGTTAAGTGCCAGCATCCCCACTGCCTGCTCAGACCAGGCCCCTCCACAGGTAGGAGTGTGGTGCCTTCCAGCATTTGGGGAATTTTCTGCCCTGGCCAGTGGGCGGGGGAGGGTGGGGGGTGGAGGGGTGGGGAGGCTCCCAGAGGGCTCTCGCCAACCTCCGTCGGGCAATCCCTGAGGCCGGGGCCCTGTCTTTCCAACACATGGGAACTTCCAGAGCACTCTGCCCACCCCCAGGGGCTGTGCATCCCTCTGCCCTACACAGCTGGGAGCCCTCAGAGGGCAGGGACATGACACTTCCTCAGAAGGAGCCTCCTGGGGCAGGGGCCATGCAAGGCAGCCCGTCAGACGCCACGGCTGTCCTTGCCCAGCACAGGCCCTGAGCACAGCAGGAGCTGGACGGCTTCCCTCCCATCCCAGCTCCAGGCCGGCGGATCTAGTGTGAAGTTGGCCGGCCCCTGGGATTGAACAGGCAGTAAACAACCCCATTCACACGTCAGCTGTTTTGCTCCAGAGCAGCCTCATCAGCTGGACAGGCCCTGAGCAGACTTCTCCAAGTTTATCCCCCGGGGTGGGGAATGGTGGATGGCCTGGAACTCTGCGCCCTGTCCTTTCTGAGGAGGGGCTACTTTCTGTTCTCTTGAACTTTGAGAGTTTTCTTGGGGAAATGTAGCCCCTGAGGGGGTAGGGGATGGGGTGCTGCTGCTGTCTGTGTGGTCTACCTGTGTGGTCCCCCGAGGGTCCCAGCAGACCAAGATGGAAGAGTGGAGTAGCGGTCAGCTGAGAGATGCCCCAGAGACCCTTCCAGAACCCCTGCAGCTCTCTGGTCTTAGGGCTTACGACTTCTTTCTTCCCATCCTCTCCCCTCACTTCCCTTCCACGCTATTCCACAGGCCCAACCCTGTTAGCTGAGGCAGAACAAGAGAAGAAGATGAGGGTTCCTGTGTGGCATAGACCACGGTGGGGACCAGGAAGCTGTATTAAGGGCAGAGGTTCGTGGAGGAAGAAACCTGAGGGGTAGAAACTAAGGGCCACAGGGGAGGGACAAGGGGGCTGGGGACCCTGGAGACAGAAGCAGAGAGAGAACCACTGCTTCCCTCTTGGAGGCTCCCACCTCACGCTCTCATTCTTTCTTCTCAGCAGCTGCCCAGACAGATATGGGACCATCACGCTCTCTTTACAAATAGGGAAGCAGGTTAAGGTGTCCAAGGTCTACACAGAGTTAGCAGGAGAGCTGGGCTAACACCATTTTCCAGGCCCTTCCTGCAGGCCTTTTGAGGGCAGAGGACCGGGGAGGACCGGACATACCTCAGAATGATGGCCACAGGGCTCCGGCGGGGGCGGGGGGGGGGCGCCTTCCTCGACCAGTGGGTTCCTCACATGTAGCCCCCACCGACACCCCAAGTTTAGAACACGCCCCATCAAACTTCAGGCGCAGTCACCACCACGTGCCAAGGCCCCGCATGGCCCCATCCCAGCACAGCAAACCCAAACCCCTGATGTGAGCCCCACCCCACTTCCAGGGAACCCCATTCCACGGGCTTTCCGCGGTGTCCCTAGCCCCCTCCCCAGCCTCCAGGGCCCTGCCCTACCCGGTGGTGATGTCATCGTCCTCAGCCATCGTCTTGCCCAGGAGGTCGCTGTCGCTCATGTAGCCAGACTTGAGGTCCACCTCGTCCGAGTCCAGGGACTCGACCAGCTCCAGGCGGGAGATGTGGCTGAGCTTGCTGGGGCTGCGCATGGGCATGGTGTGCGAGTAGTGGGTCCGCTCGCCGTGCATGTACCAGGTGGGCGGCCCCTCCGAGCGGCAGCTCCCACCCACCGAGGGTGCATCCCCAGCCTGCAGCCGTGGGCTGGACTGGCCGTAGCGCCAGGACAGGGGGGACGAGCGGTTGGAGAGGCTGGACACGCTGCGAGGGTTGGCGTCATCGCTGTCATAGCAGGTCATCTCCAGGGAGCTGGGCAGAGAGCAGAGGGCACCGGTTTACTGAGTGCTCCCTGTCCGCTCAGATCGCGCCCCGCAAGGCCCCCTCTCCACCTGCCGAACTCCCCCTCCTCCAGGGGCCTCTCACTATGGACGTCAGCTTGTTCCATGTCATCTCAGGTCATCAGAGGAAGTGATGTCCGTTCTAGGGGAGCAATCCAACATACTGTTTTTTTGTTGTTGTTGTTGTTTTTTGGGAGGAAGATCAGCCCTGAGCTAACATCCATGCTAATCCTCCTCTTTTTGCTGAGGAAGACCGGCTCTGAGCTAACATCTATTGCCAA